GCAAGCAAGCACGCACAGACCCGGGTGTCCCCGACAAATTGGTAAGTACACAATCTGTGTGATGCACCTTATAAGAGATCCTGTACAGAGGACTCTCAGTCTAGTGGGAAGATCACTGACTGTATTAGGACTATACCTGTACAGAGGACTCTAAGAACCATATGAGTACAGTATAGTATGGGAATAGAAGATGAACATACCTCAGTCTAGTGGGAAGATCACTGACTGAGGAAAGGAAGGAGCGAAGCCAGCACTGTCTACAGCGCTGGCAGGTGGCAGTGCTTGTCTACTATAACAGGAAGGTAAGGTAATCTAATCTAATCTGACACGTCACCTGACCGCATTCCGACACTCCCACTCAAGCGCTGCCTAAGACCCATAGCCCGCATAAACCTCCAGTGTTTCTCTCGAGGTAAGGCCTTTGTAAAAATGTCCGCTACCATTTCCTCCGTAGGTACCCATTGTATTTCAGCTTCTCCTGTCAGGGATATCAGTCAAATAAATTTTTCTGTCCTTATAGTTATAGTAAAACCCGAATTATTTGGCCCAAATGTTATAGTGGCCCCTCCATATATTTGAGAGGGTTGGAGAGATGCCCCTCCCAGATATTCGAAGCAAACCCCAAATATTTGGGATGCATATAGGGAGTGAGGGCTCCCCCTCCCCAAATATTTGCCAAATATTTACTGTGAGCGCTACATAGGGAGGATCAGATTCTGCGTGCGCTGTGGGTCCCCTTGTGATTACTCCAAATATTTGTCAAATAATTCACCCAGATATTCTCCATTCAGTACGGCGGTGTGCGCAGCAACGTGATGCTCATTCTGGCTAATCTATTACATGTTCTCGACTACATGTACAGACTACGTCTACGACTAGCGGAGGACAAGAGAGCATGTTCGTGACAGAACAACCGCCCTCCAAATTTCCAAGTGAGAAACAATAGAATGGCGAGTTACGCTGAACGTTTGCAGGCATCTGCGCGTGGGCAGGATCCTGAGACACCTTGGGTGCGCCAGCTCTGCGATGACATGCTCGTCGCCGCTGTCGACACCAAGCGGGTGCTGTTGTTGCTGTAGCGCGTGAACACCGAGGTCGACGTGCCCGCGCTCGACATGGAGCTGCGCCACGTGCTGGACGCCATCGAACTCGCGCTCGACACCAGTGGCCGCCCGCTCCGGGTGCTAAACGGCGAGTTCCCGCGCTCGGATCTCTTGTCACCGGTCTTGCCGTTGGGTCCGCCATGGCGTCGTTCCGGGCTTCCGCGAGCTTGCGACGACCGGAACGGAGAGTCGGAGGAAGGACCCCATGCGCCGCTCCCGTTCAGACTGGATTCGTGACGTTGCTTGCGATCGCGGACATCTGCTTGCCACCCGAACTAGCGCTTGAGGGGCTTGTGCAAGCGTCTCGAGGGTAATGTCGTGCGCCGACGACGGACTCGTCGGGGATGTCGCTGTCGTGCCCTTGCCTTGCGAGCGCCACGCTTGTGTCGCTTATGAGTGGAGGTTGAGCGGCAGCCTGACTCGCCCTCCACCTCCGCTTTGGCATCGTCATCGTGCTGGTCGTGATGGTCATCAAGGAAGTCCATAGCGCTCCCTTACTCAGTCTCGCCGTCGGCAACAGGCGGGAGTGTGATCAGACTCTCATGCTTGTGCTCGAACGCAGGACCCGAGGATCGAGACTGTGAGAGGTTGCGAGAGGTACGACGGGATGTACCCTCCCCAATGACGACCGAGTTCCGAACAGATAGACGGCAGGAGTGAGGAATGGAAGAAAGGCGATGGCCCTGCACAGAGGCGATAGAGATGTTGCAAGTATGTCCACGGATCGAAGGCCGGCCCACCAAACGCACCGGAGGTACACTTAGAATCGTCCTTGTGTCTGTCGAGGAGACAGAAGTCATTGTTGGCCAAAAACTCTGCAACGGGGAGGGTCACACCGGAGAAACGCTGCTGAGGCTGAGGGGAGATGGGCTCAGTGACGTCTGAGCTGGAGGACGAGAGGGAGCGGGCAGAGCGGATCGCGCCTGGGGCGCATGGCCGGACTGGAGGACGTGACCAGATTCGGCGGTGTCCTCAATGCGCCTGTAAGCATTTTACCACAGAGCGACACACAAGGAGGATGAGGACATACCAGTAGTGATGGAGGTATAGAACTTGGCGGGCTTGGGGAGTTTCCAACCCTCCGTGGGTTGGAAGACGTCTTGCGCCGGGTGCCTTCTTGGTCAGGACGATACACGTCCAAGCTGTTCTTCCCGCTCCTTTGTCGCGTGGGCCTCGAGAAGCAGATGTTTTCTGGCCCTTGAAGAGACCACAGCAGGCGTAGACAGCAAAGCGGGAGAGGCAGCCGAGCCCGACGTTGCGAGCCACCTACGGCTACAGAGATATAGATTACTCACCGTCTGCTGCGGTTGCTCCACCGGTGTCTCATCCTTGCCTCTCCTCCCGCCGCCGTCTCAGCTTCCTCACTCCTGCGTCGTCCGGGCAGCCAGGGGATGGTGGAGGTCGTGTGCAAGGTCGAGGGCAAGACGGAAGTTGAAGGATGGTGGGGCGATGGGGTAGGGATGGTGGTGGATAGCATTGTGGGGGATGCTGTGTGAGGGGAGGTGGTAGAGAGAGGGCTGGGCTCTGTTCTAGGAGGCCGACGGAGGGAAGAAGGGCAACGGTGAGGAAGGAAGAGGGCGCGTGGAGAGAAGCGAGAGATAGAGAAGAGGGAGAAATGCTGGCGGGGCCAGGCGGGCGCCAAGTTGTCAGGTACATACGGCTCGGCGGTCGCCTCCCCACCCCCAGCGCTTATGAGTCGTGAATAGGGTACGTACCTAAGTACTTAGGCCAGTGCCATGTCCTGCACAGCCGCAAACGAATACGTTGCTAGGCAATATCTACAACGAACCAGAGCCTAACAGTCTACAGAGCTTGGGCAGTTGAGAGGGAGATCGAACATGGGGCGACGTGTTCGGCACAATTTCAGTCCTGTCTGTGTCCCTCCTCGCTCGCTGCTCTCGCCTGCGAAAGAGGAGAGAGGCTCTCACACCAGCTGGATTGGCCAACCCCGTGACCCCCGCAGAAATACATCCAACAGCCTTTCTCCCATCAATCCCATCTACCTTCCCAGCATTTGCATGACAACCTACGATGGCCAGCGCCAGATGGTTAATCAAGTAGCCCAGGGTGCACCTCAACGACGTACCTTCCGCATATTCTTGGGTTATCAAGGTACGCCTGCATCTCCGTACGCTCCCGGGTCTCATGCAGAACCTGATGAGACGGCCATGAGCAAGCAGCTGGAGCTGGAGCTGGCGCTGACGGTCTTGAGCGCAAACATACCGCAGAGGTGACGTGTGCGACCTGGGCCATGAGCGGCCCTACGCCCCAGCCTTCCGCCTATCCTATATGAAACACGAGAAGTGTGGTCGGATTCAGTGCAAAATGCAAGATCTCCTTTGTATGGGAAGATACGAATCTCAAGGAGGCCCCGGCGGACAACCATCTGCATGATAAGCGGCTGCTGGAATGGAGCCTCCCGTAGCACCAGTGTCTCCACGGAGTCCGTCATGGTGTGTATGGATGTTGCAGTGTTATACGTGAGCCATAAACTGTGCAAACGGCCCAACGCAAGCTGTTAGTACGTGCTGAGCAAGGAGAAGATCGCGCGGACGAAGCAGGAGTCGTAGACACATCCGTTTTAAATCATAAACATATGGTACACGTTCCAAGACACTGCGAACCTGAATATGGTCATGGACTTTGTCCCTGGCGGCGAGCTGTTCATGTTGTTACGAAGGTACAATGTGAGTTCGTCCTGTACTCATAGCATACCGTGGGTGCTCATGGGCCCCGAATACCGCCGTATCTTGAACGAGCCGAGAACCAACACGGTAGGCCTGCTCATCTTGCGAGGACAGAGATGGCTGGATAGACAGCACACATCTCCCTCTCTCCTCGTGGACACCTTTCATTCCATCGCCTGCCCACATAACTCCCTCCCTCGCCCCCGTCCCCTCTACTTCCCCGTCCACGGCCGCCCCCAGCTGTCGCTCGCCTTCTCGCATTGCCCGTCTCACAATAAACACTTGTCTATATAGGGCCATCCTCCGTTTGCTCTCCACGACGCTCTCAGACAACACACACCTCGCCGCCGTTCAACTCAACAAAAGAGTTATTGAATAGGCGCATACACAAGGCCAGTCATGTACCGCAGACGCGACTCCCAGAATGGTCGCACCGCCTACTCCTCCGCGGACACGTATCGCTCTCACAACTCGAACCCGCCTCCAACCGCAGCGCCAAACGACTCGAGTGAGGACGAGTTCCAGCTTCAGCGCAATATGTCCACCCCAATTGCCAACAACTTCGCGTGTCGTAAGTCCACGGACAGCACGCGCAATAACGCTCCTTTGGTTCCTCCCCGGCCCTTCTTCCCCGAGGGCTGGGCGCGCCAGTCTTGGAGCGGATCCTTCGAAAGCACGTCGTTGACTGGCGAGCAGAGCGATCCTGATAGCGCGCCTCCCGCCGCAAGTCATCCGCAGACGCGACCACGCGACCTTCTCAACGCGGTGCAGCTGCCCGCTCCCTTCGTGCCTTCACCAGCCCTACCCAGCCAGCGCAGCCAGTCTCTTCCAGTAACCCTCGTCCTCGCACCAGGAACCATTGCAGACGCTCGTCCGTGGCCAGCGAGTACGCCCCCGAAGCCGAGAGCAAGGATGGAACGGTTGCTGCCTCCCCGACACTCTCGCCTGTGACTGCCAACACGCCCACATCCGCGACTCCCTTCATGCCGAAACCGTTCGACACCGCGAGGAACTCGTTCTACGGCACGATGCCCGCCGGTGCTGCTCCATCTCTTGTCGCAGGACCGCGTCCACCGCCGTCCTCCTTCCCCTTTCAATCGCACCCAGGCAACCCAGACCCCGGCCTTCCCCTCCCGGGCATGGGTGGACGTGCTTCGATTGAGAGCATCCGTGCTCGGGAGAGCACATATCCTCATGGCCACCATCACTCTCCAGCACGGGCACGGTCTTGCAGGTGCCGGCATTGCCGGGCGGCACGAGCAGCAGCGATCTCGCATGGGATCTTGGGCGCCCGTACGCGCCGTTCATGGAAATAAGTATGGTGCCGGCGTCCCCAGCCGCGAGGGCAGCGCTACCCCTACCAGCCCGATGGGCAGCCGTATTTACATGAACAGCGCAGCGGCGGCAATGGCTGGCAGCAGCCAAGCTCTGAACCAGGATTTCTGTAAGTTAGTTTCTGAGCGTGCGACATTCCCAGAGGCGAGATGACTGACTGGTCTCTTTTATTCATCCGACTCTTCGCACAGGCACCAACGCCACGCACATCCCGAGCAGTGAGCACACAATCGAGCCCAGCCATCAGCATGCATGCGCCGTTCTTTGGCCATCGTCGCTCCCGACATCTTCGGTCCGGTCGCCGCCGTCGTACTACACATATCCGCTTGGGCAGTCGAACTCCTCGCTCTCCGCGCATTCCCGCAAGTCGCGGCGGTCCATGCCCTCCTTAAGGCTCTCGCACAAGCTCGAGAAGGAGGACAAGCCATGGCTCAGCCAGCGCGACTGGCGCGACCGCGCCTCGTGGTGGCTCATGTTCTTCATGCTGTTTTTCGGGATTGGAGGCGCCGCGGTCCTCTGCTTCTTCGGGTGGCAGGACGTGAAGATGCTCATGGACTCGGACTTGTGCCAGGTCCTGGACAAGAACTTCGACACACTCGACCTGCAGAATAGATGGACGCGCGACGTCGAGCTTGGTGGGTTCGGCAACGGGGAGTTTGAGATGATGACGGCCTCGGACTCGAACCTGTTCGTGCAGAATGGCGAGCTGTACATCTTGCCGACGCTCACATCGGACGCCATTGGGAAGGCTGCTATACTAGACGGCGGCTCGTTCAATCTCGGTGACGACTGCACGAGCAACAACAAGGTCAGACTTTTCACGCTGGTTCCTACCTTCTCGTTTTGGCTCAGGCGTGTGATGCTAAACTCTTCTGTTGTTTGTGTCTTCACACACTTTGTGGTGTCATTTAAGACTGCCTGTTCCGTCAAGTCGAACAACCAAACGGGCGCGACCATCCAGCCAGTCCAGTACGCACGGATCAGCACGATTAACTCTGCCACCATCGCGTTCGGCAAGGTGGAGGTTCGCGCGAAGTTGCCTCAGGGTGACTAGCTCTAGCCCACGATCTGGATGCTACCCAAAGACAACAAGTATGGCGCATGGCCGCTCAGCGGTGAGATCGATGTGCGTATATTCTCTCTTCCCCACACTGTATCACCGAGAACTGACTTTGAGCGGATCTTCTAGATTATGGAATCACTCGGCAATGGCATCTCGTACCCCGCCCTGGGCTCTAACTTTGTGCGCTCCACGCTCAACTAAGGGTGCTCGCGAGCGTGCAGACGTCCATCTTCGGCTGGTGGTCGCAGAAGCGCTCGTCGTACACGGACGACTTCCACGTATACGCGCTCGAGTGAACGCCAGATTGGATGCGCTTCTACGTCGACTCGCGCATGGAGGCGATGATGAACTTGAAGATCACGGGCAAGGGGGGCAAGGACTTCTTCAAGCGAGGCCACTACCCTGCCACGGCCGCTGACAGCGCTTCCCAGACCCCGTAGCAAAACTCTACGCCGCAAATGTCGCGCTCGCGCTCAACTATCTCCACTGAAAGGGCATCATCTACTGAGAATTGAAGCCTGAATACATGGATCAAGATCGCAGATTTCGGCTTCGCCAAGCACTGCACGATGACCGTCTGGACGCTGCGTGGTACCTCAGACTACCTTGCACCCGAGGTGAGAGCCAGCTCCCCTGACAACATCCTTGCCCGTCTCCGCGATCTTCGCTGACTCCAGCTGCAAGGCAAATGATGTCAAGCTGGCATTACACAATGCTACAGGTACAACTAGGCACTATCTGATGTACGTAGCTTACTGGCAACGTGTGGTACAATAACAGTGTGGATTGGTACGCCCTTGGGGTGCTCATCTTCAAGATGCTCTCCGGGCTGCCGCTGTTCCACGAGCCAGACATCTCGCCCGTCGTGTCGTGCGAGAAGATCGCGTGGGGCCTGGCGTGCATAATGGCCGGCGTTCAACGCAAACACTACCGATCTGAGCTAAAGGAGTATCAAGTGGTGGGCGCTGTGTAATTAGGCGGAGAGTGTAGCCGGGGACCAGGACCAGCAAAGCACCAAGGACAAACATATTCTCCTGTCGAGCTCAAGTGAGCAGGTTAGACGCTTGACGCGCCTGCCACAGGCGCGTCAAGCGTCTAAATTCTGCACTCTGCCACGTCTCCCTCTTGCGCAGGCCTTCATCTGTCTCCTTCCGCTCGTCTCTGTGTCTCTGCCTATCCGCCATGCACCCGGCACCCGTCTCCAGACTCCACCGGTTGAATTCTCTGTCCGTCTACTGCACTGTTTTCTCAGACACGCCGCGTGCTCTGTGCAGAACTCCAACCCGCCAAATCATCTGCTCATGCAGCCTCGTGAACGCGAATGCTTGGCGACCGTCTGTTAGCACTGGCTATGTGGGCTATCTAAGAAGGGCGACACATGTGAGTCTTGCAAGAGTACAACCTCTGCTGCATGCCCAAGTGCTGATGGTATGCCAAGTATGGCTACTGATCTGCTGGTGACGAGTGTTTTTACACGTATCCTGAGGGTGGAGTGTCCAGATTACAACAGAGGCTTCTGCAAGCTTGGTACGTATTTCTCTTTTCCACCTTCATGGACATGCTGTAATCCTTCTCATGACGAATGCTCACTTCTATTATTCTGGTGTGATATCTTGTACAGGCTCGAACTGTCCCCGCAAACACATACGCAGGGGAGCATGCCAACTATACCTCACCAACTTCTGCCCTCTGGGACCCGACTGCCCCCACAGCCAGTATGCGCATCTGCCAGCAGATCTCACCCATCCTTGACCAGGTCGGCTAGGCTACCGGGCTCGACCTCACTGCAATATCTGCGGCTGTGTCGAGCTAGCAAGGCTCATTGTCATCGGCGGCGCAGAGCACGGGGAGAGCTGTGCCAGACGTCATGCAGTCATACCTGCACCGAATCCACGAAGGGCAGGCCATCGGCAACCGATCCGATAGCCGCAGCACGAGCAGCCATGGCTCGGACAACGACCTTGCCGTGAAGATCGAAGACAACATCTTGAACGCGCTCGGCCAGCTCGCCCTCGACGAGCACGGGCACCCGACAGGGAACTCGTCCACAATGTCGTCAATTCAGCAACTGAAGAAGGCGACAACGTCCCCGCTGCACTGTGTCAAACCGATAGAGGAGGACCCGCTCGCTCCTGGGCCAAGCGTCAACAAGTTATCTTTCCCCACAAGCGTGTACTTCGGGAAGGTTAGGGCCCTACCGAGACTGGAGGGAGTTGAGTACCCCGAGCGGGGCCTCGTAGACAAGTTCGTACGTGCCATTTGTAGCACCTATCGGTGGAGAGAGGGCTGATTATATGCAGGTCGGTGCGTACTTCGCCCGTTTCCACTTCCTCATGCCCATATTGGATAACCCGGACTTTATGCGCCAGTATAGGTACCTCTTGGATCGCCCAGTTTGTCCGTTCGCATACTCCCTTCGTAGCACTAGTGTGCGCTGTCTTTGCAGTAGTGTCTCGCTTCGTGGACGATCTGCGGCTGAAGACGACCGATCACCTCAAGGAAGCCGGTATGGGCATGGTTTACCATGAACGGTATGTTCCCCGAATTCCCGCGGGCCATTCGCGGCATTTAGACGCGAACTAACTTCTCGCCCATCTCAATATAGTGCGCTTATCTTGCACTACATCAGTGCCGCCTCGATGCAGGTCGAGCACGTTCAATGCTTCTTGCTGATGTCTTCGTTCCTGTGTCCCATCAACGGCTTATCGCAAGCGTGGCTTTGAGTCGGGCAAGCTGTCCGCGCAGCACAAGACATCAGTCTTCCCGTGAGTAGCCATCCACACTCTCGACCGTACCCGTGCTCACACTCGCCGTAACCGCACTGAGACGCCTTCTCATCTCTCTGGTTGAGAATGAGACGTGTTGTAAGATCTGGTAGGGCGTGTACACCCTGGACAGGATGCCTGCCCTGGCGCTGGGCTGACCCCTCGCCATTGAAGATGCTGATTGCGACGTGGACATCCCCGTCAAGCTCGACAATCAACTGCACCCGCAACACTTTGCAGGCACCTTGCTCCCCCAGGGCAGATCTCGCTCATGCAGGGATCCATCGAGCTCATCTTGCTTTACAGGATCGCTGGACGAGTCCTCCACGAGGTATACGCACTTGACAAGGACCACCTCGAGATGGACAAACGGGCTGAGCTGCAGCGGTCCATCGAGACGTTCAACTGACACCTCACCAAGTGGTGGGAAGACCTCCCTGCGGTCTTCAAGTCGAACTGGATGTGGCCAGCAAAGTCCGCTGGTGGTGCGCAGAGCGGACCTTGTCGCCCAGATGAGTTTTGTCCCATCTAGTGTCGCTTGCGTTGAGGATGCCCTGCCACAATATGGCGCACGGCACACTGCGTCTGGAGGGCGGTTGTTCTGTGATGAACGCACTGTCTTGTCTTCCGCCGGCCATAGTTGTAGTCTGTAGAAGTAGTCAAAGACATGTAACAGATAAGCTGGAATGAGCATTCACGTCACCGCGCACACCGCCATACCAAATGGAAAATATTTGAGTGAATTATCACACTACAACTCTAAATTTTTGGAGGAATCACGACAGCGCACCTACTTAATTAGCGCTCACGCTAAATATTTACTGAATATTTGGTGCCCTCCTCCGCTTGCCCCCTCCACACATCCTAAATATTTGGGGTTCGCCTCCAATATCTGGGAGGGATGTCCCCCAACCCTCTCAAATATTTGGAGGGGCCACTATAACATTTGGGCCAAATAATTTGGGTTTTACTATAACTATAGGGACGGAAAAATTTATCTAGTGTGTACTGGTGCTCCTGTAGCCACCAGATTGTCGCGCAAGAAATGGAACTTTCGCTGAATGTGCATTGTTCGAGCGCGGAACTGCGCTTCCTTGGACAGGATGATGGCAGCACGATTGTCGCAGCGCAGTTCACTGGGTTTCTGCTGTGGATGACCGAGCTCACTGAAGAATGTGCGAAGCCAGGCTAGGTGTTGGCCAGCGTTGCTGAGACCAATGTACTCCGACTCAGTTGATGAGAGGGCTACCAGAGATTGTCGCTTGCTTGACCATCCAATCGCACCTCGGTTGCTGATGAAGACAAACCCAGAGGTTGAGCGAGAAGTGTCATGGTCACCGCACCAGTCTGCGTCCGAATATCCGTGAAAGTCCATGTCGCCGCTAACATCTGATCCGTCAAACCGAAGTTCGCAATCGGCCGTGCCCTTGAGGTAGCGCATGACCCGCTTTGCCATCTCCCAGTGATGGAGCTTTGGATTTGCTGAGTAACGACCTAGTACTCCAACAACATAGGAGAGGTCAGGGCGAGTGCCTTGTGCGGCGTACATGAAGGAGCCAACAACGCTTGCATAGGACACTTCATGACCTTCAATGGTATAGGTATGGTACGTCCGGTTGTCATCAGGATCGTCAGAGGAGGGCTTGGCACTTGTAGCCATGGGCGTTGAGACAGGTTTGCAATCTGCCATACCGTACCGCTTTAGAACGGTGTTGATGTACTGCTGCTGGGAGAGACTAATTGTACGGCGAACCCGGTCACGACGAACTTCAATACCAAGGATGTAGGATACTGGTCCCAGGTCTCGCATCTTGAACTGGGCCGCAAGCATCGCTTTGACCTCGTCCATAAGATTTCGGGACGTA